CACTGACGGCTTGGGCCCGCCATCGCTGCTTGCAGCTATATTTCTCATTGCTTTCTTTGGTTACATTTTTCTTACATTAAACACAAGAAATTTAGTGTTTAATACTTTGTTGTTTGTGTATGTGTTTTCCTACTACAGGTTGTATGCATTCTCTGCAGTGGACAACCAGCACTTGCAGTATCTGTGGGACTGGAGTCAGCACAATCTGACCATTAGAGCTGGAAAATTGTTCTTCCGTTTCAATCCCAAGCTTTGCATGTCTGAGATCCAGAAAATGTGGGAAAAGACTGGTGTTAAGGAAAAGATGGAAGAGGACGATGCTCGTAGCAATGGAGAACGAGCAAGTTGTGAGTAGATGAAGTGTTTACCGTGATGCTCTGCCACTGCAGTCTGCAGTGCCACAGCAAAATTTATTTTATTTGAAATGAATTTATATTTTTAAGTTTTGAGTTTGAATTCAATGTGATGAGTACCACAGACATAATATCAAGACAACATTGGATTTCTGTTCTGTTTTCCTTGTTGACTGCACCCAAGAATGAAGCCTGATTCATGAACAAATGACTTTTATGTCATAATCCAGGTGAAACAGAAATAGATATTTTTTTTAAATAAGTAAAACTACCAACAATATCAAAAGAAAAGGTAAACGCACTAGATGCTCAGCTTACTCCTGAGATGAACTCCATAAAGCATTAGATTAAATGCCAAATAATAAATCACCCGGACCTGATGGACTCCAAACATAATTCTATAAACACTTCTGGCAAATTCCAAGGCCGTTATTTCATAGAGAAGTCACAGAAATAAAAACTACATCCACAATTCCGATGCATATAAATATGGCCGTAATGACACTTTTACTAAAACCAAACAAAGACCCAGTTCACCCCACTAGTTACCGCCCTCTCTTGTTGAATAGAGATTTAAAAAGATAAACAAAGCTCTAGCTACTAGAATAGAAACATTTATCCGATGTTACTCCACCATGATCAAACCGGTTTTATCGAACACAGAAATGCTTCGGATAACACCTGTAGATTATTCAGTTTAATTAGTCTTGCCCAACAAAAACAAACCAAAACCGTGATTGTATCATTAGATGATGAAAAGCATTCGACAAAATTAATTGGGCTTTTTTATTCACAACTCTACGCAGATTTGGTTTGGGAGAGTAGTTATGGGTTCCGAAAACCGGTATTAAATTGGCCCAGGGGCTAAATTATGAAATACTGGTGTATCGATAAGCTCTGACGTTAACAGTTTTGCTATCGGTACTGGAGAGATTAAGAAAACACACATACATTTATTATTGCTATATAGACATTATCTTGCAAATTCTATTTCGCCAGTCACCAGCTGTTTTTATATGCAGTAATATTCAGACATTTGTCTATGATGCATTTTTGCTATTCGCAATTCAGAAGAGAAATCGTGGAGGAGCTATAGTGCGCACAACATGAAAGCCCTGTTTAATGGTGATGATAGAGGAGAGAACTAAACATTCAAATGCCTGCTTACACTTTAGGCCTGTAATATTATGCTAATTTTTATTTTTGATTTAGATTTTGGCTTCTAAGGATCAGAAAAAGAAGATATGAGGTAAAACTTTTAAAAACCAGACATGTTTCGTCTAGCGCAAATTCCGTCCCTTATCATGTTTCTATTCTAGTAGCTAGAGCTTTGGTAATCATTTTTAAATCTCTATTCATCAACAAGAGAGGGCGGTAACTAGTGGGGTGAACTGGGTCTTTGTTTGGTTTTAGTAAAAGTGACATTACGGCCATATTCATATGCATCAGAATTGTGGATGTAGTTTTTATTTCTGTGACTTCTCTATGAAATAACGGACATAGAATTTGCCAGAAGTGTTTATAGAATTCTGCTGGGAGTCCATCAGGTCCGGGTGATTTATTGTTTGGCATTTTATCTAATGGAGCTCATCTCAGGAGTAAGCAGAGCATCTAGTGCATTTACCTTTTCTTTTGATATTGTTGGTAGCTTTACTTGCGACAGCAATATGACAAAACGTTACAATCCAAGGAAAACAAGATATCAACACACAACATAAAAGTTGTCTTTATGCAGATGATTTGTTGTTATGCTTACAGGATCCCTTTACCTCACTACAAGAAACCTTCAAAATCATTAATATTTTTTCCAAAATTTCAGATTGGGAAATTTCCGAGATTCCTGGGATTCTACAGCTCGTAACACTTCGCTCCCAAAATCAATGTAAAAACACTTCAGTCGCAGATCTTGCCTTCTTACCATGTTACATCGAATGTTACAATCACATCAACTCTTGACAGTTTGTTGGAAAGTGCACAAAATTAATAATTCACCACTAACACCATGTAGATACACCCTAATCTGGCACAACCCCAACTTTCAACTGTATAATAAGTCTATGCACTTTCCATCATGGCAACATAAAGGAATAACTCATCTCCATCATTTATTCCAAAATAACCAATTTATATCATTTAACATACTAGTTCAGAAATACAGCATTTGGGGAGAACAATTTCTCCAGTATCAACAAATAAAATCCATAGTTAAATCCAAGATTAATATAACTAATAACCCACTACACTAATATCTAAGCTTCATAAATGTAAATCAAATACAGATACAACAATAGCACTACCAATGGACAATTGGCTTTCTCCCCCAACCCCGACCTCTGGAAGGAAATTTGTAATAATACCTTTCCTATTTCTAGCAATACACATTTACAACTAATACAGTACAAGATAATTCACATGACTCACATCACCTAAAGGGAAAAAGTTTCAAATGGGTTTAAGCAACACAGATATTTGCTCATAGTCATAATGCACACTGGGTAGCACCGACAACTACTTGCATGCCACATGGATCTGTCAACTTGTTTATTCATTTTGGATATCAGTGAACAATAAACTTTCCATTATTATGGGCTGTAGAATCCCTCCATCACTTTCTTTATTAGGTAACACCATTGAAGTAGATAATATCCCAAATAAGTAGAAAAACCCAATCCTCGTTTCTCTAACTATCGCAAAGAAAATAGTTATTTTAAACTGTAAATCAAAAAAGTGTATACATATCAATCAATGGATTAACTCTCTTAGAGAATACATCACATTAGGAAAAATAACATTCACCCACAAGAAGAATATATTTACACTTATCAACATTTGGAATACTTTGTGGTTTTATTTTAATATAAACCAGACACATGGAACCGGAACCATGCACTCTTCCAATCACAACTTCATAAACCTATAAGAGAGAAGGGGAATGAGTGAAATATGTTTATATATTTGTGTGTATGTGCATATGTTTATGTATGCATGTGTATATGTAGGTACATTATCGACATGTATATCAACAGTTTTATTATTATATGCTCTGTTACTACCAGTGTTGGGCAAGTTACTTCCAAAATGTAATACATTATATGACGGAGCTTTCTAACGCTGCATTAACGGCGCACTCTGAGACAGACAACAAGAGACAAAATTACTTCAATATAGGCTGATGATGGTATATATCTGTCTTAAATTATTCCCTTAAGATTTCTCTTGTGGCCCGTATAGTGAAAAACATGAGAAGAAACATATTTCGCGTTAAACAGGTTGTTTTTGAAAATCTGTGCACGAAATAAAGCTGCTCTTAATTTTCATTGATGACTGCAGTGTTAATAATTTTATTTATAGGCCTATAATTCAATTGTATAAATTAATAGAGCGGTTTAAAAAAAACTTTTAAAAAACATTTTCAATGAGGAGTAGCCTAAGCTAATAGTCTAAATTTTAATTATCCTCACAGCACGCCATAAGGTAATGCGCTATGAAATTATTGCGGCGCAATAATTTCAAGTCATTTAATAATAAAAGTAACCTAATAATAATAATAGGCCTTTGGCATTGAGAGTGACTGACACTTGATGGTCAGAAAAAATGACTAAATAGATGTGTAAAAAAATTAATTTAAATTAAATAAAAAAATTTAAAAATCCCTACTTTCTCTCTTTTCTAAGTGCATTCATAAATTGTATTCATTTGTAAGTGTCATATTTGGCAGTTGGCATTAAAGTTATATCACTAATAACATTGCATATGAGAAGTTTATACCACAGAAAAAAAATCTAAAATATGTCTTTTTTCGAAGCTGCTGTATATAAAAAACACAAGGAGGCTGAATTTGTATGCTGAAGCTTATAGGCGTTCATTATTTTCACTCGTGCTATTTCTCCATGTTGGGAGTTTGGTTTCGCACATATTGCACCATGCATTCTTATCCTTTTCTCCGATGAACTGAAAATAACAGGAGTGTGTCCATCTCACAAATGTAGAATCCGTCTCTGCAGTCATCTCAACCATCTAATTCCAGCAACAGGAAATAGACAAACTATTTTACCCGCGGGATTTTTTTCTCTGGTGCTGTTTTGCGGTGTTGGTAAATTCACCACTTAATTTTGAGTTAAAATATGTTGTTGTAACTTGCGTTACTGAGATTGTAATGAGTAATAATATTACCCAAATTTTATTAGTAATGCGTTATATTACTGCGTTACAGCAAAACGTAATATACTACTGTAATATTATTACTTTTGTAATGCGTTACTCCCAACACTGGTTACTACTATTATTATATCACTATAGAATATGATCTATAGATATGGGGAACAAAATTGTATGTATGTTATTGTATGTTATGCATTATTTTTATTACTTAATTTTACTTTATTTACTATAATTTTACTTTACTCTATATCTCTTCTCCTTCAAATATTCTGTTCTACATATGTTTAGATGCATACATATTGAGATATATACATAATATATACAGATATAAAGATATATATACAATTTTACACTTACGCCTCACATAATCATTCGTAATAACCTACCACTTTGTGTTTGCTGTTGTTGTTGTTGTTGTTGTTGTTTTTTTTGGTCTGTTTTGTATCTATGGTGATGTTATCCTATACTTTGTCTTATTATGTACTGCTTTAGAAACAAATAAAATAAAAAAAAGACTCTTATGAGCCGATTCTTTTAGAGAATCATTCAAAAAGGCTTTTAATCTCACAGGGTTTCCGCGGGGTCTTAAAAAGTCTTAAATTTAGTTGTAACAAATTTAAGGTCTTAAATTGTGATTTGGCTTAATGTGACGAATAAACTTCAAAAGGCTATGATTTCATTAAATAAACACGGGTGCTGCGCGTTTCAGAGTCCGTTGCTGCGCTGCTTTGTGTTCTGCTGTTACTGTTACCAGGGAAACAGTTCTATTTCTGCCGTTCCGAAAGCGCCTCCTGCTGGCAGAGAATGAATGTGCATTTTCAATAAGCCTGTTTTATTGGAGTAGGGTATTCCGGAGGCTGCAGTTTCAGGACCGCATTTCTAGGACCCTATAGGCTAGTTTTTTTTAATTATTATAATTTTTTTTTTGTATGTATATATTAGCAGCTCATACTATTTTATAGCACTTGCTATTCAATTCTGTATATTATTATTATTTTTAATGAATTATGTAGTTATTTAATTGTATACACTTAATTATTGTTCGATTTGTAAAATTAATTATTAACGAACTCCTAACCCTAAACATTCTGGTTGGTAACCCTCTTGAAATAGTTAAACCTAATTTATTTCAATATATTATATATATATACAGGTACATCTAAAAAAATTTGAATATCATGAACCACTGAGCAACAGTCCAGTTCTTTTTCTCCACAGCCCAGGTAAGACGCTTCTGACGTTGTCTCTGGTTCAGGAGTGGCTTGACACGAGGAATGCAACATTTGTAGCCCATGTCTAGGTTTCGTCTGTGCGTAGTGGCTCTTGATGCGCTGACGCCAGCCTCTGTCCACTCCTTGTGAAGCTCCCCCAAATTCTTGAATGGACTTTGCCTGACAATCCTCTTAAGGCTGCGGTTATCCCTTTGGCTGGTGCACCTTTTCCTACCACACTTTTTCCTTCCACTCAACTTTCTACGAATATGCTTGGATACAGCACTCTGTGAACAACCAGCTTCTTTAGCAATTAACTTTTGTGGCAAAAAAGACTTGTCTTTGCGAGACTTGTTCATTAGCGGCAGCACAGCACTTCACGTCTGATGTCTGACCCACTTAACAAAGTGCAGTAAACGGTAAAACAATTGTGGTACAAATTTTACATTTAGTATATTAATAATTTAAGGGGCCTAGTAGAAATGCGGTCCTGAAACTGCAGCCTCCGGTATTGCAGGAACACAGTTTTGGGGTTGTTTTTGTTCAAACCAATGTGAAAATCGACCCATGTTTTTACCCTGCAAACACACAGAGCTGTAAATGTGAACTGGTGGATCGATAAGAAGGTAATGCATTATAAAAATCTAAACAGTAAAATGTATTTATATGTTATTTAATTAATATAATAATTTGATAATAATTGTTTAAATTAATATAATAATTAATACTTTTGACTTATCCATTTTATTAAAAATGGTTTAAAGGCTGAAATGTGAAGTGTATCATTTTATAAAACATTTTGTTTTTGTGAAAACATGTATCTGAACTGTTAATCATGCTTTTCACAGTCATTTTACAGTTCAATACGTTACTATAGACCAGGGGTGGGCAAACTTGGCCCTTCGAGGCCACTTTCCTTCAGAGGTTAGCTCCAACCCTAATCAAACACACCTGAACCAGCTAATCATTGTCTTCAAGACTACTAGAAGGCTATAGGCAGGTGAGTCATATCAGGGTTGGATCAAATCTCTGCAGGAAAGTGGCCTGGGAGGACCAAGTTTGCCCATCACTGCTATAGACATTGCCCTACCCCATTCATATGGTATTAATTTTATTTGTGCAGGTCTTAAAAAGTCTTAAATGTGAGCTTAAAAATCCCGCAGAAACCCTGTCTCAGTGATTCTGTCAGAGCAGTTACTGAGTCAACATTTAATCATTGCACCATTTCTACTTCCAGTTAGGTCTGAGAACTGTTTAGTGTACATTTGCAAAAAGAGTTTTTGTTATTAATAATAATTTAATTAAAAAATAATCTAATCGTAATTTAGACTCATTTCAATTTCACATTCAGCTATAAATTAAATCTATTCTATCTGTAAATGAAAAAAATTATCTTATAAAATAATCTATCAAAAATATACCAGTATAATATTGTATCAGTATAATTATTCCAATTTAATATGGTTTTTAAATTGACGTTTTTTGATACTTCAAATATATTGCATTAGAAACAAAATATCAAGCCAAGTGGCCTCTGCAAACACAGTGCTGGAGATTTTCTCAGAAGTAACTTAAAACTGAGCCATTTTGCATTTACTGGTGTCTAGATAATTTTTAATAGATGTACAGAGTCAGTTCTCAGAAAGTGTCATATACACATTTTGAACAGTATATCTATCATTTTATAGTTTGCAACCTTAACTTATTTTTATAAAAGGTTTTAAACCGTGAAAGTGTGCTTGTACACTTTTTCTTGTAAATAAATTTTAGTGGTTTGATATTTTGTTATATGATGCAGTGGCATTTGTAAGTGAAAATGGTTGGTAGACGATAGCATTATCTCTCTACAAAGACATCACTCAAGACTCTTAAAATGCGTTTTGCTCACAAGGTGTCCCAGTCTGTACCTGCTCTATTATGCGTTTGACAGATTTCTGCATAGAGCGAATTTGCTTTGAAGACCGATGATAATGGCTTAGCCAATGTAGTCGTATTTTTTCTGCAGAACATAATTGCTCTGACTCTAGACTGGTGAGACATTAACAGAGTGCCTTTTGTAATACCACTCTGATTCCTAGAAGCTCATGAAAGATGGAAAGGCCATGGCACAGTCTTACATTCAAGTTGAAGAACTCTTATGGGTGCTTTTAGTTAAATCTCTCTTATGACCCCTCTTCTAGGTGAGAGTTATATTCTAAAGTTCAAATCCAACCACACTCAGAGTACTCGGATAAAGCTCACTTGGGAGCGATATCGACCGCCTGACTACAGAGACCTCATCAGCTTCATCGTGTATTACAAGGAGGCGTAAGTATCAGCCTGCTAGAAGTTACTATTATAGACGCATTATTCACATTGAGTTTATTAGTGGCTTCAGAGTTGAAGCATTATATAAATGTTTTTTTTTTGCGTTGTTGTCTCAATGTAGACCATTCCAGAACATCACAGAATTCGATGGACAAGATGGATGTGGCTCTAATAGCTGGAACATGGTGGATGTAGACCTTCCTCAGGACAAATCGGCAGACCCAGGGGTATTGCTGTCCCCTCTTAAACCCTGGACACAATATGCCATCTTTGTGAAAGCTGTCACCCTGGTTGTAGAGGACAAGCACATTCTGGGGGCTAAGAGTGAGGTGGTCTATATCCGCACTAATGCATCAGGTTCGCTTCACCACTGTCCTTCCAATATCCAGTATCCAGTCTACAATTTGACATATTACGCCAACTAATATCTTGCAATTCCACAGCGCCGTCAATGCCCCTCGATGCCCGGTCATATGCCAACTCCTCCTCATCCCTGATGGCGAAGTGGTCTCCTCCCATCTCTCCCAACGGAAACAAAACCTTCTACCTGCTCCGTTGGCAGCAGCAGGCAGAAGACCGTGAACTTTACCAGCATAACTACTGCTCTAAAGGTAAGTGTGCACCACTGAAGTGCCCTTTTGCTTCGTCAACCCTCATCACCACCACTAACCGTCAACCTTCTGCCTCCTTTCAGCATTATTTTAGAAATTTAGCCATCAATATATGAAGTGAAATTTGATGTATAGTGAGTGTACATTTATCCCAGTTACTACATGGCTACTAGCCAAATAAATAAAGAGATTTGAATGATTAATTTCAGTTGAAATTATTATGTTACAAGAAAGAGTAGTGATACGAGAGATCAAAAACTAGTACAGCTATGTTGAAAATCATGTGCCTGGGAGGATTATTATCAGAGTCAGGTATTCCAGAGAACCGTACAATAACTATATTTACAAAACGTGTGAAGCTTGTGTTATTGTTGCTCGATCAACTCGTCTGTGTCATTGTTTTGGACTACAGAGCTAAAAATTCCCATCCGCATCTCAGCCACGGCTTTGTCAGACATGGAGGGCGAAACAAAGCCCACCAAATCAGATGTTGGCGGGGGTGAGAAGGGCTGCTGCCCCTGCCCAAAAACCAAGGAGGACCTAAAGGCAGAAGCTGAAGACCGATCTTACCGAAAAGTCTTCGAGAACTTCTTGCACAACTCCATCTTCACACCCAGGTATGACACATGTACTGACGGCACTTTCTGAAGCTCGTATCACACTTGATCGTATCAAGTGTAACGCAGGTCTGTTCGGTTCAGTGGGCTCTTGCATCTGCTGCTATTTGAAAACATTTATATACCCCAAATGCCTAAGCCCGGTTTAAATGTTTGAATTCTTTTATTTTGAATAAAGAATATTTTAGTTTCAGTACAAGTCAAATCAACATCACTTGTGGCAAAATATTACCAATTATAATACCAAATTATAATATTTAAAAATATTATAATTTTTAAATCTTGGTTACAGTGAAGCACTTAAAATGGAAGTGAAATGAGGTCAATCTGTAAATGTTTTAATACTGTCTTTCAAACATATAGTCAAAGGATGTAAACAGTTTGCATGTTAACATGATTTTAGTGTTAATATTTAGTTTACAAACCAAAAAGTTCAATTTTACAACTTTGTTGCCATGATAACCTAATGCCTAAAACCATAAAAAGCATAAAAATTGAATTACATTTAAATTCATTTCTATAAATAAGTGTTAAATAAATAGTGTTTTTATACAATTAAAAGCTTTACACTTCCTCCAAAAACTGTCTCCATTCACTTTCATTGACTCACCTTAACCTCGATTGAGTTGAAATAATTTTTTGGTCCACATTAGTGATGTCATTTGAACTTCTATTGAACTCAGAATACTTCTTTAAGGACATTTTTGTTGACTTTTGTATGACAAACATTTTTGGCACAACGGTGAATTGCCAGTTGATGTCCGATTTGAATTCTAGGTCCTGATGGAAAACTATCGCTCTAGCGTACTGGAAAGGTTAGGTGGACCCTCAGTATCCTGGGTTACTCCCAGCACTTTCTGCCACAGTTTACAACAGTGGTCTGAAGCCCTTAATTTTTTCAGTCTTCCTGGAGAGCGATTATCAAAGTGGGTCTGAGCTCATAGTCTTGAGGCGGCTTGATTTCATAGAATCAAAACCAGAATTTTGGAGGCCCGGACCGAGGCCTAATTATTTAGACATGGGGCTGACAAGATCAGAACATGAGGTTTTGGAAAGGGGTAGGTGCCAGCAGCGGAGGCTGGAGCGGAATTAGATTGTGAGGTGGGGAAAGGTACGCACTCCAGGCCTGTGCAGCCACGTTGTTTGTTGCTGGAGCGACGGTGGCGGTTGCATATTAAGACTTCAGCAGGCTGTAATTTGGCATGCACAAACAGACGCAGACTGGATTAATGAGACTGGAAAGCAGCCGCTGGCTGAGGGCTCGCTGCATGTTAGGCTTTTGTTTGCTGAAATGAGGAGTGACGTCTGCATTGTGTTATCTGTTTACCTTGCTTGTGGCATCGGATGTTTTCTTGTCTCATGCGGGTGAAGAACGGCACACAGGAACTGGTTCAGGTTTACTCAGACACACATGCTTTGAGACTTTCTGAGAGTTCGTTCAGGACATCTGCACTCAGGCTTTTTTGTGGGTTGTTTATTTGGTTGTGAGTGTGTGTGCATTTTGGGGTGGTTTTGAGTCATGAGTATTGATGCACAAATCGATGTCGCCAAACATCTTCTACCACTTAGCTTCCCTAAACTTCTGCTATTGAAGCCCTATTTTCATCAAGGTAATGGTTTGCGGTTCACTCAGGGACAGCGTGATGCACCCCATCAGCGTCAACCCATCTCTCCATCTCTAATCGATGGAAAACAGACTTTCTAAATGTAAATATGCTTTCCTTTAGTAGCAGAATGCTCAATAAGATCTTTTCTCCATCACTGATGACTTATTTCCATCTTGACCCAGCAACCCCAGCCCCCTCGCTGTGTTTCCTTTAGAAGTTGGGGTGACAGATTTGTCACTCTCCGTTCCCACTGAGTAGACCTCATTATCGATGTTCGAGACATAACCGATCGAGTCTGAGAAACACTGGAGATGCTAAAGACTTGAATGAAGCGGATATGTTTTTCCATTCAACGGTCGCCTCCCCTTTCTCGTCCTCTCGCCCGCTTTCTCTCCCTCCTTCCTCAGACGCTTTCTTTGTTTGCTTTGGAGTGTCCGGCTCCCAGGAAATGTACAGCAAACCTATGTGGAATGTTAATGAATTCCAAAGTAAGATCCCTTTCGAGAGGAGGTGTGGATGCACCGTCTTCTCTTTCAAACACCCACACAGCTTGATCAACTTTCGGGCCCTGTAATGGGAGTCCGAGTCATTCCTGAGCCCTGCGCTTCAGTGAAGACTTGACTTTCTGCCAAGTGGGACGTGAGGTGTTGCCTTTGCTTCAATGACACGTAAGCCTTCCTGCCTGGGAAAAGGAAAACTGGATGTGCTGCTGTCAGTGTTGCTATGTCAACATCTGCTGTTACGTCTTTCATCTGAGGTTTGCAGGTGTAAAATCTTCCCTCAGGACCCTGTCTCTTTAGTTCTTGTCTCTTTAGTTCTTGATGCGAGCCTGACCTTTTCCTAGTCAGCGGCCAGTGCCAGTAGCATTTAGGTTAAGATCAGTGTTTATGGCTGTAGACAAGAGGCAGATCCTGACTGTAAAGACCCTGAGCCTGGGCTAAAGGTTACAAAAAAGATTTTATACAGTACATGTACTGTATATTATGGATGTACTTTACTCACACATATGGGTTTTCTTTGTGCTTGATGAGTAGAGTTGTATTGTAGAGGTGTTGATGTGATGCTCAAGTAACATATGATTTGATCTTCTACAGTAAACACCCTCAAGGGTGACCTGAATCCCTAGTTAGTAAGTATTTAATAGTGTCCAGTTGCTTCCAAAATCCCCACTCTTAAATCACAGAGCACCATTCAATGGAAGTGACATGAAATGTGGTTAGAGTTGATTTGATTGTTCCTCCCTACAGCGTTCTACGTTGGCTTTTATTAAAAGTTTCCACTCTCGCACATATACAAAAGCAAACACACACAAAAATCTTCTCTCATTACTTCTCGTAATTTCTCAGTTAATTGATTTGAGTTGGCAGAATAAGGCTTATAGTAATGTTTAAACTTTCATAATCATCAGTGGTTAAAGTTCGTAATTGCTTGTAAATGTGCTTCTTGAAGACCGTTAAATAGGACACTCAAACAAGCCTTTCTGCCTGTGTTGTCATGTCAGACTGGAAAAACACCTGCTATTACGTCTATAGAGCAAAACACTTTTCACTTTTCCACATGCAACAGGATCATCTAAAGCAGACTCAAGTTTGGCAGAGTTTAGAGACAGCACACCAATATGACTAGTATTTTTCAGTATTTTATTTGAATAATTTTATATCAGAGAATTGGCACAATAGACTGTACGTATATACTGTATGGATATTTTTAATAATATCACAGGTTTATAGTAATATATTTTAGTATAGTAATATTTTTTTAACAATTATTTAATAATTTCTTTACTGACAAAAAAAAGCATCTGGTAATCAGCCAAGAAGCCACAGTTATCATTGTTATGTGTTCAGTACATCAATCTATAACTAGTTACAATTCCCAAACTTTTTTCCTCAAACTGTTTTTGACAAAAGCTGAAAACCTGTATTGCCTGTCTCCACTTATTGTCTGTCAGTCTTTGTGTATGACACTATCACTTTCCTCTCTTGTATTTGTTTGGCACACTGGGGTTTCCCCCACATTCATCTCAAACCTTCCTGTCTTTCCCATCTGCGGTGGATCGTATTGTTTGGTCTGACTATTGAATTTTTACAGAGATCCTGAGCGAGCAAATCGTTACGTGTCTTCTAAAAGTGTCTCTAGGTAAGGCTGTGACCCTGCCCTAGTCATATATGTGAAGTGGCACTGGGTCCGTTGGTGTCTGGTAAGCTCTTGTGGTTGCTGCTGACTGCATGTCTTTAGTGGTGACAGGGTTGACCTGTAGCCAGCGACTTAGTTTGCTTATCGCCTAGTTTGCTTATATGCACTGTCTCTACCGTCAGAGGCAGAGTCGGTCATATCATTATTATGGATATTCGATATTTGTTCCAAATATGCCTTCCCATTTCATTTTCTCATCTGCAGAAATGTTTGTTGTATGTGTAGTGCTTCATTTGCAAGTATATATTTGATAGTAAGCATTGATAGTGCAAATAAATGCTTCATTAATACACATTGGTTTTATACCTGGGCAGGAAGAAGAATCAGAATGGGAAGAAAGGGTCAGGGTAGACGAGAGAGAGTTAAGATTTCTTGGATTTTCTTTTAAAAACCAATTTTCTATGAGCGATCAGTCCCAGCCCAGCTGGATATATAACACTCATAAGAATTTAAAAGAGCTCATCATTTAGGATGATAAATGATTGATAATATCCAGAAGAGAAAAAGGAGCCCTGTAAGTTGTAGAGTAATGCAAGTATCTTCAGTGTTACTAAGGCTGCGTTTACACTGCAAGTCTTAATGCACAGATCCGATCTTTTGACCATATCCGATTTTTTGGCACGTCTGTTTACATTCACTTTAGACACGACTGGTATCCGATATCTGTGTTTACATTAATTCCCACCCAAAAGGATTGTCTGCAGTGATCGCTTTACTATGCACATGGTAGACCCTCGGGTTTTAAATGGCCGTGCTTTTAAAATTATTTATATAATTCATGTCGAATGGCCATTATTATTTGCCAACATGGACAACGGCTGTCATGGCTGTTTTGCAGCACAAAATCTGACTGAACGGATAAAGACCGGAAAATAACGGTAATTTTAATTTGTTAGACTATTTTATCTACAGCTCGTTAGCGGTAGAATTCTTTAGTGAAATAAAGTTGATATTTATTTAAATGAATTTTTATTAATTAAGGAGAGAGAGAGAGCGAGAGAGAACGAACGAACGCATGCACCCACGTGCGAGTGAGCGATTGTGAAGCATTGCAAACAAGCTTGTCGGTTTAATTACAAAAACTGCTAAATTATCAATTCATTGCTGAGAAATATATGTAGCTTTTAGCTGTTGTATTTTCAAAATTCAGGGGTTGAAAATCAGCTCCTGAATGTGCAATTTCTTACCTATAAAAAGTTTCTCTCAATAAAATGCGAGCGCATACAGCACGCCGGCATTAAAACGCCATTAAAAATCTTTATGAGCAAACGTGTCGCCCTCGCATTGGGAGTTCTGTGGAGAATCGGATATGTGTGTTTAGACGTAGGTCGGATGTCCAGATATCAGATGTGTATCCGATTAAAATCCACATTTGGAAGTGGCTCAGATCGGATGCAAAAAAATCGGATCTCGTGCGGGTTTTTGTGTTTACACGTGTGCAACAAATTCCGATCTGTGTCAGATATGAGCGAAAGAACGGATTTTTTGTGCCAGTGTAAACGCAGCCTAAGAGACCTGTTAGTAGGACATTAGAGAATTAGGCTTTCGCATTAAACGGAAGTGGTGTGTGTTGTAGAGTAATTGTGTGCAGTAATTGGCTTGTATGCTTTTAAACCAGTGTAGACTCTGCTGACACTGGCTGACTGCTCTACATCTTTCTATGATATCTTACTATCAATTAATACTTCATTTCCTTTTCCTCTTTACTTTTCTTTTCTTTTTCTTACTTATTTTACCGTCATTTACTAAGTCCTTTCCTTTTCCATTCTCCTACTTTTCCCATTTCATTTCCTTGCTCACTGTCATTTATTACTTCCTTTTCCTTTCCATTTCTCTTTCCTGTCAATTTTTTTCCTCCTCTTTCTTTTTCTTTTGCTTTTCCTATTCCTATTCCTTCCTCTCCTCTTCCTCTTTAATTGTTTTTTTTTTCATGTCTCAGACCTCCTGACAGGAAGCGGCGAGACCTGTTTGGAGTGGCTAATGGCACACTGCTGCAGAGTGCAAGCAGGAACAACACAGGAACGGAGAGTAACATCACTGACCCAAAGCTGCATGAGAAAGAGTACCCTTTCTCCGAGGACAAAGTCTATACAGAGTTCATGGAGATATCCAACCTGCAGCCCTTCACCGTGTACCGCATCGACATCCACGCCTGTAACTATGAGATCCACCGTTGCAGTGCGGCAGCTTTTGTGTTCTCTAGAACCAAACCAGCAGGTCAGCAAAACCAAACTCATGCGCAAATGACTGCATATCCAGTCCAGCAAAATATTAAAATTCCAGTAATTCTCCACTGTGCCTACAGCATGATTTTTTTATTTGTTATCCTGTTCATGTTAACAGCAATTAAAACGGTAATGCAATTGAAATGTTATTGAATTACTGTAAGAGAGCACTGGCCTTGAGCAGAGTTATGTTTTTTTCCCAGACAAAGCGGATGATATTCCCGGCACTGTAACTCAGGAGAGGGATGAGAGGGGAGAAGGAACAGTGCTGCTGCGGTGGCCTGAACCTCATCACCCTAATGGACTGATCCTCATGTATGAGATCAAATATCGCCTGGGAACTGAGGTTAGTGCGACAACTAACTATTTCTACACCATTAAGAAATAGTTAAAACTGCAGCCAATGCCACAAACCAACTGTGTGTATGTGTGTGTGTGTGTTACAGCCTGAGAAGCATGAGTGTGTATCACGGCAGCAGTACAGAGTGCTGCGAGGAGCTCAGCTTAGCAATTTGCCCTCTGGAAATTATTCTGCCCGGGTCAGAGCAACATCTTTGGCTGGGAATGGGTCTTGGACTGAACCAGTGTCCTTCTATGTGCCACCCCCTAAAAGTAAGAACGCACATAAGAAACCTATGGGTTTATTTTTAGGAGGTGTGCTTACTGGTAACTTTAAAATAGCTTATTTAATGGAAATGTAGAGAGGTCTGTTTCAGTCTGTGGTCATATTTAGTTCTTACTTCTGTACAAATGTCCTTCTTTCTTACAGGAAATTATGATAATGCCTTCTATCTGGCCATCATTATTCCTGTTATAGTGCTACTGTTGCTCACTGCAGTGATCTCCGTTGTCGTCTTTGTTACCAAAAAGAGGTTGATGTCCCATCTAGTAAAAAATAGACTTTTATTTTAATTTCCAGTGTCCAGTACGGTTTTTCAATATGTTTTTCAATGTTTCCTTTCAGGAATAGTGACAGGTTAGGAAATGGTGTGCTATATGCTTCTGTAAACCCTGAATACTTCAGTCCTTTTGAAAGTGAGTATTATGTCAAATTTGTTCAGAAACCAGGTTGTCTTTAAAGGGATAGTTCATCCAAAAATGAAAATTCTGTCATTAATTACTCACCCTCATGTCGTTTCAAACCCGTAAGACCTTCGTTCATCTTCGGAACACAAATTAAGATATTTTTGATGGAATCTGAGAGCTGTCTGACCCTGCATAGACAGCAATACAACTGAAATGTTCCCAAGTCCAGAAACGAAGCAAGGAGATCTGTAAAATAATCCATGTGACATCAGGGGTTCAACCGTAATTTTACGAAGCTACGAGATTACTTTTTTTGCACAAAAGAAAAAAAAAAAAGACTTTATTCAACAATTCGAACAAATTGGTCTCTAATTTTGGAGAGTATCAGCTGGACGTAAACAACGTATGCTGTTCTGTGTAAGCTGCGTCACACGGATACGCCATTTTCGTTCAGATCAAATCACAACAACGTAGGAAACAGATCCGGCATGATGCAGCTGACACAGCTGATACTCTCCAAAATGGAGCTACAGGGTGATGCGGAGGAGACGAATTGTTGAATAAAGTCGTTATTTTTTTTATTTTGCGCACAAAAAGTATTCTCGTAGCTTCGTAAAATTACGGTTGAACCCCTGATGTCACATGGACTATTTTACAGATCTCCTTGCTACGTCTCTGGAATTGGGATCATTTCAGTTGTATTGCTGTCTATGCAGGGTCAGACAGCTCAGACAGATAAACGAAGGTCTTACGGGTTTGAAACGACATGAGGGTGAGTAATTAATGACAGAATTTTCATTTTTGGGTGAACTATCACTTTAATTGTTTAACTGATTTTCTTTTTGCAGTTTTCTGGTAAACTTAATATCAGTATTATACTGACTAACGTTTTGTTCTCACAGAACACAAATAGGCCTATATACAAAATACCAAAATTTTGTGAGGTTTATGTTTTAAAAAAAATTGATTTTTTTTTCCAATAAGGTAAGAAAAATAAGAATAAAAATAAAATGAAAAATATAAAAGTTATTTCACAATATTTATTTTATATACATTTTAAAGATGTTTTGATGTTAAAAAAAAGGAAGCTATATGCTCGTTAAGATAATGATTCATCACTGGATTACACATCCTGGAAATCAATTTTGAATTATTGAAATATGTTTTTTTTTTTTCCATTGCTACTGTCATGTATGTTACCCTGCACTGCCTGTTCAAATGTGCTGACTCCATTTCTGTTTCCTCAGTGTATGTACCAGATGAATGGGAAGTGGCTCGGGAGAAAATCACTATGTGTCGTGAGCTGGGTCAGGGCTCCTTTGGTATGGTGTATGAGGGCATCGCAAAAGGCGTCGTCAAAGATGAACCTGAGACCAGAGTGGCCATCAAGACTGTAAATGAATCCGCCAGTATGCGTGAACGCATCGAGTTCTTGAACGAAGCTTCAGTTATGAAGGAGTTCAACTGTCACCATGTGGTAAGAAAGAGGGCAGAATATCATCCAGCATTTGGTTTGCCAACAAATCGTACTTTGAAGTTCTTAAAGTCCCCCTGTAGTGAAAATCAAGTTTTTTATGTTGTTTATTTGTCTATGTGGTGTTTTTAATATACTTTTAGAAATCACAAACGGCTGTATTCGAGTCTTCAAGGCATTTTGAGGACACAACATCGTCAAGTAAGTAAAATTAACGAATATTACAGTATTCACTGTAGTTGTCCGCAAGTAAAAACATAGTTTTATCAGTCATTATCCGTGTATGCCATTGTTTTGCGTTTACTACATTTCAGTGAATCAGGAGGCGCTAGGTGTGAGTGAGTGGAGGCGGGGCTAATTTGCATATTCATAGATCAGCGTATAGTAAATGAGGCAAGGGTGTTGAGTTACATTCAAGCTATTTTAAGGCATGAGAAAATTATTTTCACAAGAAAAAACATTTAAATATGTCATTTTGATTATCAAAGATACGTTTTAAGGGATAAAATATTTGACTACAGGGGGACTTTAAAGATATTTGTAATTTTTATGCAAGTGTATAATTTCTATGCCTCTTGCAGCGCCAAACAAATGGCAAAACAATACGATGCTTTTCACATAGATTGTTCAGACACAGGTTTCTCAGTGTTTTCATAGTGTCACAGTGTAATTTCAGCTCTCATTCTTTTTTTTGGACCCTGTTTTAGGTGCGACTTTTGGGTGTGGTTTCACAAGGCCAGCCCACTCTAGTTATAATGGAGCTGATGACACGGGGTGATCTGAAGAGCTACTTGCGTTCTCTCCGTTCCAAAGAGGTACAGAAACATCCTGTCTGCTTTGATTATCTTGCTGCTTTTTAGATAAAAAATACACTTCTAGTTAATTACGCTTATTATCTTTATTTTTCTTTCTGCTCAGATCTATGGCCAGCATCTCATGCCCCCTTTTAGTTAATGTTCACATTTCTTTAAAGCTACTCGCTATTTCAGTCAGCTGTTCAAAAAGGGTTTGTAGTAGAGAAAGAGAGAAACAGAAGTGTTAAATGCAGCCTTTGTGCTCTTTTTTCCACCATGTAGCAGGGCTCTAGCAGCCAGTCATTGCCTCCGCTGAAGAAGATGATTCAGATGGCTGGTGAGATAGCAGATGGGATGGCATACCTCAATGCCAACAAGTTTGTCCATCGGGACCTGGCTGCTAGAAACTGCATGGTTGCTGATGACTTCACAGTTAAAATCGGAGGTAAATCTCAGTGTTTCTTTGCAGCACATCACATAAATCCATAAATTCAATCATCTTTTTGAACACCAGTGGATTGAAGGCAGTGACTGACTCTTGATGTTTGCTCTCTTCATGTGTTTAGACTTTGGCATGACAAGAGACATCTACGAGACTGATTACTATCGCAAAGGAGGCAAAGGGCTGCTGCCAGTGCGCTGGATGTCACCGGAGTCTTTGAAAGATGGAGTGTTCACAACAAATTCTGATGTCTGGTATGAGCCCCCTGTTCTCTCTGATTTTTCTTCACACACAGATAAATGCAAGACTATGTTGTTTCACTGCATCATGTATGTGTAAGTGAATTGGTTTGCGCTTGCATATACGGTACCGGTCAAACATTTGGACACACCCTACTGGTCAAAATTTTGGGGTCTGTACAATTTTCTTTTATGGTTTTGAAAGAAGTCTCTTATGCTGCATTTATTTGATCAAATATACAGTAAATTTGTTGAATTTTCAGCAGTCATTAATTCAGTGTCATATTTCAGAAATAATTCTAATGTGGTCATTTGGTTATTTCTTCTTTCATATTTATTATTATTATCAATGTTGAAAACAGTTATGCTGTTTAATATTTTTGCGGAATCTGATACATTTTTTTTAGAATTCTTAAATGAATCGAAATGTCACCTTTTGTGTATTTTCATTTATAAAACCCTGCACAAAAATACATGTGAAGAAAATATTACAACAAACTTAAGTTCTTTATTTAAATAAATAAATAAAATCCCCTGGTAATAATTTAGCTATAAGCTTTTAAATCAAAAGGGTTTCATTTAAGTGTGTCCAGAGAAAAACTGTGATTTTTTTTTTTTTCCTCTTGAGCAGCAGGCTGTCCCATCAGAGACTCAGTAGCCCCTCTCCACCACAGGCCCTCAGCTGTCCAGAAAGCATTGAAACTGTCTCTTTATATTTCTTAATACGACAGGAAGCCTCATAGGCCTATAAGAGGTGAAAACCCTTTAATGTTTTTTTTTCCACTGATGTCCTGTGTCAAGGGAGAACATGCATCACTTCCAGACATTCTTCCAGTCCCAGCCAAGCGAAGCTTGCCCAAACACAGTCTCTTTGTTTCAGACAGGCTATCTCTCCACAGCTTTTGTCCCAGCAGCGGTGGTTCAGTAGAACAGAGTCACGGTGCCATAGACCGACTCTTCCAATTCTGCTGTTTCCCAATCTTCAGCGTCCCACAGCTCTGTCACTCTGTGCTCTCCTAACCTTCTCCAGATGTTTGGTAATGATGGGGTTGGTGTGCCAGCGCAGACCCGCCTCCCTGTCCCTTCGTCCGTATCTGCCGCTTTTGAAGTCCCTGAGATGAAAAGAGCCACAGCGAGCTCCCATCTCGTACTCCCATAAACCTCGCCGTTAGGTGTCTTTATTTGTTTCCTTCCCCTGAAAAAGTCCTGCTCCAATGCGGTTTTGTCTTTCAACACACAGATGTTGCAGCCAATTAGATGCAAGTCACTGTTGTAATAGTCCTGTTTTAAAGGGTGTTGAGCTTTGTCTCAGATCCTCGGCCAATGTCGAAAATTTGTCCTCAGAGAACTCATGAATAACAACTGGCAACAGTGTGCTCTTTGTGTGGTTTTTATTTGGGGTTTGCCGACTTTCTGGTCCGCTGCTGCACTTTCTCACCGGCCGCCGGCTTATATATGGACTCATTTTCATTAATGAGGAACACAAGGCTAACAAAAACACCACACTAAAAGAGAAAAGTTCAGGTCAGCGGCTCACGCGGTGTTTGCAAATTTTGCGCTGTTTTGAAAATGAGCATTTTGTTGTTCCAGGCTAGGAAAAAAAAAAACATGGATGCATCCGCAGCCTTTCAGTCACACGCCGCAGGCTAGTGCTGCTTTTAGGCTCTGCAGGACTGCAATTGTCTCATAGCGGCTCTTCATGCATCTCTTGACCTTAAAGTTGTTTTAACCAGTTCCTCTTTCTTCAGGTCGTTCGGCGTGGTTTTATGGGAGATTGCCACTTTAGCTGAGCAGCCATACCAGGGCATGTCCAATGAGCAGGTACTGCGCTTCGTCATGGAGGGAGGACTTCTGGATAAACCGGACAACTGTCCTGACATGCTGTGAGTCCACCAACTGCACTTTGCTCCCAAATTTGGCACTCTGCTTTACAATGTTAACCCTTTGTCCTCTAACCGGCCCTTTTCTATTTAGGGATGCGATATCACGCTAAAATGTTGATAGTATGTCACCAGACGCTGCTGCTAACGTCAGGCCAAGTGAAAGCCCGACTGGTGACATTTGCGTCACAGGTTAAAAGGAGACAGGTGACATGTTGTCAGGGAGCCTCCGTCCATAGAAGGGAGAATGTGTGGTTCCCAGGGGGTGACCGGAACGGTGACCCATGCTGCTCTATTTTTTATTAAGAGCTTCTCGTGCTTATCTTCTTCAGAGCGTGTCTGCCTGCGTCACCGATCCGGTCTGCCGTTCTCCTTTTCTGGGCTGATGTCAGTAGCGAGGCATGAAGGTCTGTCTGTCCGTTTCTCCTGACCCCTTTCTCCCTCGGTCACTCTTTCTTGTCTCAACTGTTATGGAAACACAAACCCCCGGTTTCCATGGCAGCTACGACGAGATGTCCTGATTGCACGAGAGAGGAGGATTGAACATGCGCTACACTAAATAGCTAGCGCTATAAGACTTTTGTCATCTGTATCTCATCATTACGCCCAGCTGATATCATGAGAATTTAAGTAATACTTGGCTGAAATACAAGGGCAGGGATTCAGAAATAGCTTGTAGATCCCTTCATCATGTTGAATTCACTATTTGGACATTGTTATCCCAAAACTGTTCAACTATGATATTTTTGTAGCAGTTTTGCTTTTTTTTTTTATAGTATATCTTTAATCCTATCATGGAATCATAGGTTTTTCTTGCTGATTTTGAAAAAAGACATTTTGTATTTGTAATTTTAGATTTTGTACCATAATTGTCCTTGACAGTCAGTAACTCTGTTCCAAAACCTAGTGAGCTGCCTACCTAGACAGCATTTTAAGGCCTCACAGTCATGACATGACTACACTACTGTTTAAAAGTTGAGGTTTATAAGATTTTTTAAATGTTTTTGAAAAACTTTTATCTGATTTGCATTTTTCTTATCAAAAATGCATTAAAAACAGTAATATTGTAAAATATTATTACAAATGCATTGACAAGCTCAGTGAAAAAAAAATGTATAAAATGGCAGGCAAGAGATATTCAATAGCAAAAATTATCCAAATTTTTAAGCCTCATATAGGGTTTTTTTTTTTTTTGCCGTTAGCTTAACATGCTAACATCAAACTCTTTTGTAATAAATTTTGAGTTGAATCTCTCATGCTGAGTGTTATTTGCGGAGTTGCTAACTTTGTAGAGTACTCCAAAACAGTAACTTGCAAGGTTTTATTTCAGTTAGGATGCTTATGCATTTCCTTAGAAGGCAGCCGTCCATAGAGGCAGTACACAAACTCTCAACTTTATTTTGAGAGAACGTCTCAGAAGTTGGAACCACAGAAAAGTTTAACTTTCCGTCAGTTCCTAATGCCCAGCAGAGAAACTTCCAGCGCACTGTTTGACCCGATACTGTGGAATGTCTTTGCGAGAAGGCCTCTGTGTTGTGTGGCTAAGGCGCCCTGCTCTGCTCTGAACCTGTGGCTGGAGATCACTTAAAATGTATTTCAGTGGGCCAGTGAGTGCTGACGCTATTATTAGCTTGTGTTTTACCAAGATGTGGTGGGGACAGTACTACCACACCAAACTGTTATGATCATGGGTTTATGATTTTTTTGTATTGTTTTGTTTAGGCTCTTTTGCTTTTCATGTGTTCTCAGCTGTTGTGGTCATACACACTTCTCAGTGTGTATGACCACAAAATGTTCTAGAAGTTGTCTGTTCCACAACACTCCTTTTTGCTCTAGCTCTAGTGAACACTGCCACCTGTTGATGGGTGGAGATTTTTAGTGTGAAAACACCCCAGGGTTTATGACATTTTATAGACATTGTATTGCTTGTTTGCAATGCAGTACAGTATATGAGTGAGATTTGTACATGAAAATAAGATTTGTAAATTTTCTGAAAAGAGAAAAGAAAAGTGCTTACCTCTGTTACCACTACAACGCTGAAGTGTTGCTAGTTCTGATTTATATGGGCATATTTCAGTTATAATTTACGTTTTGCGTACAAATAAGTGAAATTCTCCTCTGTTAGGAGAATATAAGTTTGTAAGTTTCCTTATTTTTTAATATTTCTATTTTTATTTGTTTTTATATTTTAATACTTTACAATGCACTCAACTTTAGTTAGTTCCCTAGGCAACATTTCTAATTTTCTTTTAAGTTTTTAAGTAATATTTATATTTGATTTCAGATTTATTTCAATTACCGTAAACTGTCTTTTTTTGTCAGGCTTATTAAGCTACACTGGACATACTGTATGTTTTTGATTCACTAAAAAGAACTGGCTCTAAAGAGTCATTTGTTCATAAATCAGACAACACTGGTGGCGCTGTGTGTTTTTGATTTACTCAAATGAACTGGCTCGTAAGAGTCATTTGTTTGTAAATCAGTTGTTTTTTAGTGTGCATTATTTTGCAGTTCAAAGTCATTTTATTGCATTACATCCAAGTCTTTTGGATAAGGCAAGCAACTTTTTGTGATGTGACTTTTGATCAAGTATCAAACTGTAATGCAATATCTGTATCTGGTCTACAGGTTTGAATTGATGAGGATGTGCTGGCAGTACAACCCTAAGATGCGACCGTCTTTTCTAGAGATCATCAACAGCATAAAAGAAGAACTGGAGCTGCCCTTCCGGGAGGTTAGCTTTTTCTACAGTGAGGAGAACAAACCACCCGACACTGAGGAACTGGACATGGAGGTGGAGAACATGGAGAACGTTCCACTGGATCCTGCTTCTATGATGGCCCCCTCCTCTCAGGGGAGCACAGGGGCTCAGACACATAGTCCACAGCCATTCTCCCCAGCTCAGGGGCCAGGGACACCGATGGGGTCTGCCCCGACCCCCTCCACCACACCGCCCTCCTCCTCAGCCTCTCCGGGCCTGGCCTTAGACAAGCACTCAGGACAGGTAGCAGCAAATGGGCCAGTGGTGGTGCTGGGGCCGGCGTTCGACGAGACGCAGCCCTACGCGCACATGAACGGAGGGAGGAAGAACGAGCGAGCGCTGCCACTGCCTCAATCATCGGCCTGCTGATCATGACTGCTCAGTCTCCCTCTACTCCTCACACAGGGTACCCACATTTCCCTCACCCTTTTGTCTATTTCGTCATGTTTCTTTCGTTCTCGAGGCATCAAAACCCATGGTTGGCCGTGGTGACGATAACTAGTTGGACTGTGTCCTGTCTGGATGTCTGAGGATCATTTTGTTCAAATGATTTTGAATGACTGAGGATGTTTAGGGTGATTGGTGACTACAAACCTACAAGAACTCTTGCAATATTTAAGATTTCAGAACAAACCACCACATATAGAGAGCCCTGGCTTTCACTTGTGTGAAAAAAACTGTTTTAATGTTTCTAAATGAAGAAAACCTGCCAGTTCATTGTGAAACAAGAGAGACAAGCATATTAGCCAGCAAGCCCAGCCCGTGAACACTTTCAGGGTGCGTACGAGAAACAAATTACACATTCCCCTCCTCAGCGCAAGTACTTTTCTTCAACTAAAACTGTCTTTGTCATCACATTTCTCTTTCAAGATGCTGCAGAAACTTTCTTAGCTGCGATCGCTTGTTCTCAATCAGTGATTGGTCACATTACTGGTTGATCCACCCTTCTACTTAAACCATTTCAAGGGTGTTTGTTAGAGAGTGAGGTGGGCTTTTTTGGAACTGCCAAATTTTTTGCCAAATCAAATGTTCTTTTTTTATTAAAAAAAAAAAAAAGTTATTTATCATTACCTAACCCCCTATTCATAGCCGATTTTTCGAGGTTGCACTTTAAAGTAGCGCAATCAAGGGACTAAACTCTCATACTGTCTTTTATGGGGGATTTCTGGACCTCATCTTTTACAATCAGCTTGAGTTTGTAAATCTTTCCCCTTTCCCCCTTTTATATGGCTCTCATCTCCGACTATTGCATTGCAGTTCCTGCTGAACCCACCATCTGTGAGCTGAGCCTCTGTGAGAGCGATCTCTCAAGTCAAAAGAAAAGATCGCGGCACTAATCACGAAGGTGAAGAGATTGGTGCACTGCAGAGAGGTGATATGAATTATAAGGGATTGGCTCGATCACGAAGCAAACTGAAAACAGGGACTTCATTTGTTTCGACATCTGTTTTGAGAGATGAGTGAGGCATTGTACACAGCAGGTATATATATGTGTGTAAAAGAATTCCTTCAGGTTTAATATTTTATGATATCTCCACTACAGTCCATTTTCTTGTGCTTTATACTCTTCTTGCAAAAAAAAAAAAGAGTAGCAATTTAATTTTTTTTTTCTCCCTAAGAGGTTGACTGCATTGCCACATGTCCATTGCCTTGTGTTTTTTTAACTCATTATTATTATTATTATTATTATTATTATTTACAACAAACTCTCTAGCTCTGCATGTGAACTTTAGGCACCCTTGATACAGTTGTCTACCATTGCACCTGCTCATGAGGTGCAGCTCAATCTCAGGTTAATGTTATGGTTTTGTTTTTTCAGACATTCTCATCATAGCTGATTCCACCTCGGCTTTTTAGGTTGCCGGCCTCTACTTACAGTGTCCGTGCTCATGCCTCCTGCCAGGCGTCATCATAGAAGGTTTCATTTATATTTCTTTACCCTCCTAGACTATTTTTGTAACCCATCCATGTAATTGAATAGTAACTAACAGGGCTTAATTTGTCTCGCATACCCCAACCAGCATGTAATACCTCCAAACAAAATACATTCATAATCTCTACTTTGGCGTCATGCGCGACCCATGTCGACTTCCATGTCAATCCATGGAATGAGCACTAACCTTCCCGATGAAATACGCCATCTGTAACCAAATAAGAACGGGTTCAACTTCAGAAAAGTGATCGGTTTCCTCAAAGAATGCTAAATAAAACAGTAGGGTTCCCTGGCTAGTTGGCTTTAAAAAGTTTTATTTTGAAGGATTTCTCCATGTGCATTTGGGAACGTTACCCAGAACTTATTTATCCTGTCATAGAAGGTTATTTTCCCCCTTTAAAGGGGTATTTATTTCCCTTTCTTTTTGGTGATACCAGTTGAAATCACTGTACAGATGCCCTTATGATTTAGTATAAAGTCTGAATTCTAGATGCATTTTCCATGATGTCATGACTGGGGGACTTTCTTTTTTCATTTCCTTCAGCATCTATCTACCTCATTCTCTTTTATTTTAAATGTGTAAGTGATGAATTGATAAAGTACATCTCGCTTTTTTTCCTGTAGAGGACACATTATCATCCTCTGTCTGTCTTGTCTCTGATTTAAAAAAAAATTTTTTTTTAAATCTTTAAGCACCACAGAGCACAAGCTTCCAGGAATGGAGAGAGGAAGTCATGGTGTGAGCTAACATGCCTATGGGATTCCTAATGGTGTGTCTCTTGCATCCCTTATCACATGCCCAGCAACACAAAAATACCACTGATTTCAATCATGCTGCAATACTTTTTAAATAATCATATTAAAATACCTAATTCACCAGATGGTTTCATCACGATGGACCATAGAGATAAACATAGTTGCTATCAGTGTTTTCTTTTGTATTTAATATTCTTCTTCAGTGATCTCCTCTTATCCACCGTCTAATCGATTAAACCGTTCATAAAGGTTTAGGAAAGCATATCTTAAGTAAAGGGGGCATATGCTAGCAAATAAATTATCCTCACATTGAGTTACTTGCTATGCGAGTTAAACTTCAATGGTAATCTTCAATCATCTTTTGAAAAAACAATGGCTTTAATTTTTAAAACAGTTGCAGAAAGAAAAGTGTCACATGAAGTATAATTCATGCAATTAACATTACATCATTATAAAGTACTGCTGAGGCGTAGAGGATTGGATGTAGAACAAGAAAAACTCATGATATTGTTTCCATTCAATTCCATTAGCTTACATGATCTTGTTCAGTAAGAATTCATCTGCAGCATCGACAGATCATGGCACTGGACATCCTGTTTCCCAGCATGCCTTTCTCAGACACACTGTGCTTTTGCACAAAAATGTCGTTCTCCTACTTTTGTCAATGGCCTATAATTGAAGGTGACTTTAATGCACACTGATAACTACACCTGGTTCATAAATACCACTGTTTCTATTACAATGGAATCATCCTTCTCTTTTTCTGCAGTCTGCTCTAATACCTTTTGGCATAACGATTGAATGCATAATGTGGATTTCATAACACTTTCTTACAACAAACCAGTGGATTTTTTCCCTTCTCATAAACCTACCTGGAAAAACATTCCAGCTGATTTTTTTGGTCAGATGCATTACAGACCATGTATAAAGGGCCAGTTGTTGTCAGCATATTCATCGACATCATTCTCCAGAGAGAAAAAGGGCTGTCGTTTTGCCTCTCTTTTCTACTGCTGCTGACAACATGCTGCTTTACGGAGACTACAAATAGTCTTGCCAATAGCATTGGGTAGGTGGTGGATCTAACCAACATGCTTGCTTTCTTTCTCCAAACAACCGCTGAAAAGTGATGGGTCAGACGATTAAAATGCAAAGTGGATTCAGAGAAAGTCACGGTCTTACAGCCCCTGGTCGTTCTGTTTCATGGCACTTCAAATGTTCTTTGACTTTAATATTTTGGATCTTTTGAACTCCAGGGGTCAGAAATGAAGGTACTAGTAGGAAGAGACCTGGTCGGGATGCTGAGAGGCACATTGTTAGAAAAGAATATTATTCTGTGTGGTACAAGATGATCAAAATAACCATTCTATAAAAGCCCTTGTGCTTGTATTGTTGCGTATGTATATGGGTTGGGAGTGTATCACATGTAGATGTAGTGATTAAGATTTTGATGTGTTTATAATGGGAAAATAATAGATATCACTATTTATTTCTGTTTCTTTTTTTCTTCCTGTAAGGAATATGGACAAAAGCATTGGCCTGTTGCAAAGTGAATGTCAGTTTTCATTGAATGCTGCCACGGTTACTTAGTTACCAGTAGGTTACAGATCTACAGAAACACACATATACACAGACACAAATAGGACAGCGATGTCCAGTAGATTACGGGTAGTCATGATACAGAGAGAGAACATGACTAGAATTTAAAATAAAAAGAGACGAGTTTACAGTAGAAATAGCTTATGTTGCAATGCAAGTTCTCTGCAAACCTGAAGGTAGATTGACTGAAAAAAAAAATTCCCTCAACTATCATAAGAACTATTATTATTTTATTATATTTCTTCATAATGCAAAACCTCAGGTTTAGAAAAGATGCATGTATGCATTTTAATTGCAATAATGAGCTTGAGGTTTCACAGACATCATTTCCCAGGCACTGTTGTTTTTGCTTGGCATTCCGACAAATTTCAAAAGGGGCCTTGATCTACTGTACTGAAAAGAGTTTAATAACACTTTTTTATTTTCCTTTCACAAAAAAAAAGGAGGAAAAATAAAAATCTCTCTGTCATTGCATTGATTGGTAGAAACTGATGGTGAAACAGCTTGGCTGGTACTCTCATCTTCTTGTAAGTTATGTATCTAAGGCCTCCTGTTTTTCAGTTTTCTCCTCACCTCCAGTTGAGACGGTAGACTTTTTACATGCCATTGGCTTAATGTATATCTGAAGAATTTTCATGTATTTTCTTTTTTTTCTTAAATTTTGAATAAAAAAAAAAAGAATGAGTCTGAAGGCCTGTGTTGAGTGTCACTTATTGCATTTCTGCTATGTAATCTGTGTTAGGATCATGTTTTGTGGAGAATTTTTTCTTCAGTGTTTTCTACCGGTTTGCTGTCCACATACCCGGAGGTTGTATGTTCAGGGCAGTCCAGCTGGCGTAACAGAGCCTGGATGATGGTCTGGAGTTGGGGTACCAGTTTCTCTGGGCTTGCCAGGCTGCCTGAGGCTGGCACATGGATCAGCGCAGCCTTTCCCTGCCCATGGTACAGCGAATAGTAGTATACAAAATCACACAGGTACCTGCAGGTTGTTAACTTGCTTTAGTATACTGTATGCACGCTATTTCAACATTTGTTAGCTTAACGACAATATTCACAAATTAAAGTAGCAAATAAACTCAATAATTTGTTGAATTAATTGTACAGGACCTTAAATGAACACAATTATCTTTTATAGATAAATAATATTTTTCTTATTACCTCCCAGCGTCCCTGGAGTAGATGACATCAAGCCCTGTACTTTTTTTTAAATGCTTGCTAAGGGACCTCATGTCTATGATGGGAGTCCAGTCGTTCTGGTCCTTCATCAATGCAGCAGTGATGATCAGGGCACAGACCACTCACATCCCTGTCTTTGTAGCAGTGGTTCTTTCCTGTTTGCTCCAGTGTGATGCATTTGGCTCCTGGAGCTATGCCCAAATGGATAACAACCTGCCCATCACAAAAAGAAAATGTCTGTATCACTATTTTGTATCAAAAGTAACAAGAATACGTTTAGTTTTAAGATATGTCATCTCAAAATATTTAACAAAGCATCTAGTAATCCCTCCTCTGTTATGAAGTCTGGTCTGTGTTTAAATATTAGTTTACCTGTTTAACGTTACCTTTGGAGTCATCGTCTGCCATATATCATCAAGGACTTGTTGGGATTTTGCATAACTGACGGGAATCTCCTTAATATAGACTTCTAAACCCAATCCAAGTCCTGCCATCTTCAAACCCTGCTTGAATAACAAAGTGTGGCCATAATGGGTCCATCTGACTGATGAGACGTTATAATGACTTTACAGTACATGAAATTGTAAGTACATTTATATACCATGTACATCAGTTTAAAATACTTTGTATTCTAGGAACAGTTCACCTTAAATTAGCATTTTGTTAAAACGTAAGCTACAAAAAAGACAAATGCACAATTAAAGTAATTAAAAGTGGTGCCTTTTGTTTTCTTCACTTAAGAAGTTAAAAAAATACGTGATTCGAATGGGTTGATTACTCCTTTAATTTGGCCATATTGCCCAAACACACTTCAGAATTCAATAAGCATTAAAGTTATTTTAAAAGGGTCTAGACATGACCAACACCTGCTTATCAAAAATGGCTAGTACTTAGCTGCCTCCCAACTTGGATTCACAACATATTGTCGGAAAGGACCAAAGCCTAGTAAAATAAATACATAAACCACGTGTGACATACAGAGTTTACGATTTAGGCAACACTTTCTTTATATTTAC